ATTGAATGTAGTGGCTACTAGCAACTTGCTGAAACATGGTGCAGTTCCCTGAATCTCAGCAATTGAAACCATGGCTTCATCAAAGACTTCTCTTATTTCAGTTATAAATGTGCAGAACAGCATGCCTTCAGACTTTACTAGAACTTGCCAGAAGTGGAAAGTCATGACTGTCAGCATGGTTATTGGTTAACATTTACTGAGTGCCAACAATGTTTTTGGTGTCATAAATATAGAGAGGAAGACACTGTTCTGTTCCTGGGGGATTGGGTTTCTGTCAAGGTGGGATAGAGGATTTGTCTTGAATGTTCTTCTCTTGCTAGGAGGTGGGGATGAGGGCACAGTCACCTCAGGTCTCCTTCTAATGGCATTCTCATCTCTTTATTGATGATATATGCAATAAAAAGAAAATGTATAATTACACATACGTGAAAAGCATATGTAAATTTTATTTTTTATTAGTGAAGAAGAATAGGGGTAGTTTTAGGCAAGAAGTCACATCCTGCAAGATATCTAGGTGACTGTAGCTTCTATATCTTTGGGTATAACATATTCACACTAGTATTAATAGTATATAGCATGTGCTAAGAAAAGTACATAGAGGGTTTTTTTTAATGTGTAAATATATTCAGATGAACCCAGCATGTAGAATAGAGGGACCAAATGTTTTGTTTTTGACATCTAAGGGACAAAGGTAATTCAGCCTCTTGAAAGAATGGGGACTTTCCAAAAATATCTGAACTGATTCTTGGTATTCATGTAAGATAAATAAGTCATCTTTTAGATCTTTATTGTTTAATGTCTAAATATATAGAAGTTTTAATTTTATTTCATCAGGTTTTTAAGAGGCACACATTGATATTAGCTATTGATTATACCAAAATTCAATGGTGACAAAATGATATACCTTAACATTTGACATTAAAGTTACTTTCTGAAAGTGAAACTCAGGGGAAATCAGCAAAGTAACTCATCACACCCTCTGATAAGTACAAGTGACTAAAGAGTTTAAGAAACACCCAATCTCAGAAACTAGGGTGTGACTTTATTATGTTATACATATACTAGCATGAAGTTTAACTTAATCATTCTGTTAGGGTCATTGTGAAGGAAATTTGTAAGGCATTTGAAGAGGATGAAATATTGAAACTGATGATACAAAGAAAAGAATTTGCCTAAAAAGTGTTAATTCTGTATTTCTACTGTTATGTTTTTGTAAATTTTTTAAAAAGCCAGACTTTTTTTTTTTTTCTATCAAATCAAACTTTGAGATAAAACTAGTAAAAGCAGAAGAGCTCTTGTTGAAACAGCACAAAGTACCTGGCTCCCTAGCCCCAGCACTAAGTGCCTTGCCCGTCAGCTGGCATTATGGAACTTTGAAAAACCACAGAGTGCCCCGGAACTTAGTTTGAAAATCTTCACTCTTAGGAGCATAACCTTATAACCATGAGAGAAAAAGACTTTATTGGAAAAGGACATGGGACACTGGCTAGTTAATGCTTCTTCCTCTAATTCTGCATGTACTAAGCAATCTCTCAATGAAAATGTTGATTTGCAGTAATATGGTTTGCTCTGAGTTTGCAGTTTATCAATTGTTTTTTTTTTCTTAAATCAGCCTCATATTAAGGGTAGTTAATATAAGTTTACTTACTCTTGTGCTTGCTGTGGGATTAAAATTTTAAAAACCACAAAACCAAACAACAAACCAGCCTTTGCTATAGCAGAGCTGAGGTTATGTCATAGCTGTAGGGACTTCACTGAGGTCATGCCATTTATGGTGCCCTGCTAATAATTAGTACGCCTGTATTGATAAAAATAATGAGGCTGGGCTTAACCATAAAAATAATCTTTTATGGTTATTCCTGATATTTCTTTTTAATTTTTTTAGAGACAGTCTAAGTTTCCCGGCCTGGTCTTGAACTGGGCTCAAGCCCTCCTGCTTCAGCCGTCCAAGTAGCTAGGACTACAGGCGTGAGCTACCACAACTGGCTTTCTGGCATTTCTTAGAAGATTCATGAAAGGATGATTATCTTTTAGTATGACAAAATAGATTAGCATTACACTAGCTCATCAACATTTTTTCATTTTGACAACTTGTTTTTAAATTACATACCTATTAGTTCTGCCTAACTGTTGTTTCTTGAAGGTCATACATTTAGAAAGTATTAAATTTGTAAAGTATCAGCTTATAAATTAGTGAACTCATAACTGTTAAGACACTCTTTCTAATATAAATGGAATAAAATGCTGGGAATGAGTTATTGCTATTTTCTAAGCAAGGCTCTTCTTTTATATATGTTCCCTTAAGTCTGCAAAAATATTCAATTTTTGATTGTTTAATAATGCATAGTCTTGATTCTCTGAACTGTGAAATACATTACATTTTTTTCTTTGCTATCTTTCAAGCAGAAATTTGGCTTTTCTGTTATTTATCATACTTTCTCAGTTGTTTACTTTTGTTCTAATTTGTCAGACTTTATTCTAGACAGTTACATGTATAAAAATAAAAATAAAAATCCAAGAAAAGTTCACTTTAAAAATATTCAGCTAAAATCTCCTCTTAGTTTAAGTACATTTAGTAATTTAATGACTAAATCATTTGTATTTTATTTATAAAATACTGTGCTTGTGTCCTTGCCCACAAATGGAAATGTAGCTAACAAGTATTGAATGTTGAACTGTGTGGTAGTGGAGAAAGATTCAGAGGTATTCTTACTATCCTGTCACCCACCTATAGGTGACACTTTGACATATGAACAAAGTAGAATAGAATGCACTAAGAAAATAATGTCAGATAAATGATGTTCATTATAAGGGAAAATATTATTTTTACTTAAAAAATCTTTGGGCCGGGCGCGGTGGCTCACGCCTGTAATCCCAGCACTTTGGGAGGCCGAGGTGGGTGGATCACGAGGTCAAGAGATCGAGACCATCCTGGTCAACACGGTGAAACCCCATCTCTACTAAA